AAAAGGCATTAGGGTGGACAAATCCCCAGGTCCAGATGGGATCTATCCCAGGTTACTGAGGGAAGCGAGGGGGGAAATAGCTGGGGCCTTAACAGATACCTTTGCAGCATCCTTGAGCACGGGTGAGGTCCCAGAGGACTGGAGAATTGCTAATGTTGTCCCCTTGTTTAAGAAGGGTAGCAAGGATAATCCAGGTAATTATAGACCAGTGAGTCTGACGTCAGTGGTGGGGGAAGCTGGAGAAGATACCGAGGCATAGGATCTATTTACATTTGGAAGAAAACTAGCTTATTAGTGATAGGCAGCATGGTTTTGTGCAGGGAAGGTCATGTCTTACCAACTTGATAGAATTCTTTGAGGAAGTGACAAAGTCGACAGATGAGGGAAGGGCTGTAGAAGTCATATACGTGGACTTCACTAAGGCATTTGATAAGGTTCCCCATGGTAGGCTGATGGGGAAGGTGAAGTCGCATGGAGTCCAGGGTATACTAGCTAGATGGATAGAGAACTGGCTGGGCAACAAGAGACAGTTGTCGTGGAAAGGAGTTTCTCAAAATGGAGAACTGTGACCAGTGGTGTTCCACAGGGATCCGTGTTGGGACCACTGTTGTTTGTGATATACATAAATGATCTGGGGGAAGGCATAGATGGTCTGATTAGCAAGTTTTCAGATGACAGTAAGATGGTGGAGTAGCAGATAGTGAAGGGGACTGTCGGAGAATGCAGCAGAATATAGATAGATTGGAGAGTTGGGCGAAGAAATGGCAGATAGAGTTCAATTCAGGCAAATGCATGGTGATGCATTTTGGAAGATCCAATTCAAGAGCAAACTATATGGTAAATGGAAAAGCCCTGGGGAAAATTGATGCACAGAGAGATCTGGGTGTTAAGGTCCATTATACCCCGAAGGTGGCAATGCAGGTCGATAGAGTGGTCAAGGCAGCGTACGGCATGCTTTCATTCATCGGATGGGGTATTGAGTATAAGAGTTGGCAGGTTATGTTACAGTTGTATAGGTCTTTGGTTTGACACATTTTGAATACTGCATACAGTTCGGGTCGCCACATTACCAAAAGGATGTGGATGCTTTGGAGAGGGTGCAGAGGAGGTTCACCAGGATGTTGCCTGGTATGGAGGGCACTAGCTATGAAGAGATGTTGTGTAGATTAGGATTATTTACATTAGAAAGATGGAGGTTGAGGGGGGACCTGATTGAGGTCTACAAATCATGAAGTATAGACAGGGTGGATAGCAAGAAGCTTCCCCCCCCCCTTTTTAAATGATAGCGTAATTTAAGATGTATCTAGACAGATACATGAATGGGCAGGGAGCAGAAGGATACAGATCCTTGGAAAATAGGTGACAGGTTTAGATAGAGGATCTGGATCAGCACAGGCTTGGAGGGCCAAGGGGCCTGTTCCTGTGCTGTAATGTTCTTTGTAATAAAGAAAATGGAGGATGTACATTCCTCATTACTCAAGAGCAAAAAAAGGAATACATTTACTCATAGGGCCTATTAAGCACAGGGATAGGAAAGGTATGTTAAAATAAACAGGATTGATGAACAGCCAAACTCCATCATAGGTAGTCCTTCCACACTACAGAATCAAGATTTAAATGGCTCTGTATTACAAGATAAGTCTTAGTACAGTATTTGCTCTGGAGATGTGAAATAATTTGATATCAAAATGTGCACACTGATCTTTGAAAAGGCAGTGCTTGATGTTAAAACTTGTGTACAAGTTGTTTAGTATGGACTAACAAACATTTACTGAAATAAAGGTTCCAAGCAGACTCCGCAACAAAGTGGTGGAAGCACTATTACCAGAATTGGAGGAACCAAATCATGATCATCTTCTAGAACCGCAAGACTACAGATTAAATCAGAAATAACTGGTAGACACCTACCAACAAATTGCACAATCAAAACAGGAAAGTATAAAATCTGGACAAGGGAGTGAAACTATGGTATGCTCAAGCACTTCTAAATCATTTGAAATTTGACCAATTCCAGACAAAATGCTATTATACCAAACATTCAATGTTTCAATGGTTGAAACTGTGCTTGTTATTGAGAAAGGTGTTCCAGCTTCCACACCATTACTTTTGGCCATCAAGCCAGGTTTGTTTTTACCCTATACACAAGTCCTTACCATTCAGCAGACAGACTCAAATTGGTGAATGGTGTTGCAATAATGGATCCAAGAAAATTGTGCTGATGGGATTTGGAGTCATCAGCAATTGTAGTTGATTATAATAATTTTGTGGCAATCTTCACTGCAGTCAAACAGGAATGGAAGGCTTTATTTGCACAAGACTAACCAGTTTCCAACTCATTAGCTTTTAATGGGAATTAAATATTTGGAAATACCTCACCTCCTAGTGGCATGTCACCTTTTCTCCCGTCTTTACCTTCAGACATCAATATACTGAAAACACGAATTTGGTTTGGTCCCACAGAAAAATGATCTTTGATAGTGACCATCTTTTCTGTTTGAATCTAGATTCAATTCATCATGTTCTGGAGACTAAAGGGTCATGAAACCATTTTTTAAATTAACACCCAATAAAAATCCACTAAAAGTTTATTCACTGACCCATTAAATAAAAACACACTACTATTAATCCTAGCATGGGTTAGGAAAACCAACAATTGGGACCTTGCTAGGTGGACTGTAGTACACTGCATTTTCCATCAAACCAGCTTTACTTTTGTAAGTGACTAAGCTCAAGTAAATTGAAAAAGCACAAAAGTAAAACATGAAATTTATTGGTTGGTATGGTTGCACACTGTTCAGAGATATTGTGGGGTGTAACAACATTTCACAACATTACAGGTAAAGCAGGCACCCAAAAAGAAAACTTCAGCTTTTACATTACATCACACTTTGGCAAGTGAAGGCAGCAGAGTTCTGAACGAAGCACTTCCAAAACATAATATTAAACACTTTCTTTCTCATCTCCCCTGCCCTCCAATTACATTTTTGGCCATACTTCAAGTCAATGGCTTACAAAGTATCCTTTAAGGCACTTTAACCTGAATTCAATTCTCAATTGCACAGCCTAGATGTAGTGCAAATCTTGAGCACCTGAAACAAGAGGACAGTAATACAGTCTGCAGCTACAACTTCAAGGTACTGAGGGTGCAGTGAACATTTCAGTGCAATAAATTAAAGCATGTGAAAAACATGGTACAGCAACAAGGCCCCTTGCAGCTGAATGCAACTTAGTCTTGTTATGCCCAAGTAGGTTACTTAAGTCCACATACTGCAGTTTAACTAAAGCTTTGTTAATTTAATGCAAAGGTGTGTAGCTGCACAAATAACAAAATAAGAATCCCTTTGGTTTTAGATGACAGACAAAACAAATGCAAGTGCAGCAATGAGACAAGATAATGTCCATAAAAAGATAAGTTAGAGCACTTGAGATTAGCTTGGATATTACAAGATATTGATAAAGCAAATTTTAGTATTCAATACATCAAACAGAACACTTATACAAGAAACATACAATTTAGCTAGTGCTGTTTATCTGAAGCATTCAAAAACTACTCAGGTTACCCAAATATTGATGGCCAATTAAGCAGCACTCCACTTGCATTATACCCAGAGCAAGTCTGATTTCTATGCAGCTTATTATATTTCGGACAGGTGGGAGAGACTGGGGGAAAAAGGAGAGAGAAGAATTTTAGGTCATTTTCAAAAACTGAATCTGAAGTTTTGATCTCGGAAGCAGTCACTATGCACCTACTTTAAGGTAGATGCGGAGGCACAATTTTTTCAAAGCTTTGGATTCTACTTTGCAAGTTTATGGAAGGTGAGGGGAGGATTAATTAGACCAGAATATATCTTGCATTTCAAACACAATTATTGGTCACCAAATAAAAAAATCTGGACAATCATTCTGTCCATGTTCAAATTATCTGCCTCAGGTTAGTAATTTTATACACCATCACTTTTGTTTACCCTGAATGCAGCAACTTTCCCAGTTATTATCCACATTTCAATTGCTTTCATTTTTAAGATGTACAAGAGCATATTGCTCCATAGAGTAATTACTGTGAAGTTATTGTACACAACTGATCAAATCATTTACAACATAAAGCACTTAACCAACCCCAGAATTAAACAGCATTATACACTTCAAGATTTAGAAATTTAATGTGAAATGATTGTCTTCCAATTTTACAGAATAATCTCAAGCTAAGATGTTAAATTTTTCACATTAATGTCACTGAGAGCTACCAACTTTAGTGATTCTGCTCAAAGAAAACAAAATCCTTCTTGCATATAATCTGCTCTATTCTTCCACATTACACAAATGTAAACAGAATGCAAGTACTATATTCACAATGCAGAAATCTTCAATGTACCACAACATGCAGTATTTCACAAGAGCCAATGGCAAGGGAAAATACTGGAACCAAATCAATCCTCCAAATCTCCAACAGTAAATCCCAAATAAAAAAGTGGATAACATGCGTTCTGATTTAACACCCATTCATGCAAAACACACAACCAAGATCACTACTGAAAATGGAGTTTTTTCTTTTTTTACTTTGGAGATATGAACTAAAAGTGGCAAACTAAATCAGGATCTAGTGCAAATAATCTAAAATGTAATTCACTTTGGAACATTCACTAAAAATCATTTACATTACTGTAATTTGTTACAGTAATCAGCCCAGTTGGCAGCCCTGGATTACAAATCAACCATTTTAACACTGAAAAATCTAAAAGAGAAATACTTTGTGAATAAGAACTCTAGTTTATTTGACAGAGGCCCATATTCCATGGTCAAAACTTTAGCAGGAATAAGGCCACATTTATTTAAGGCATGGCTGTCTTCCCTCCCCCAAAATCAATCATGTGCCCACGTGTTTGGATCAATTAAAGTTTACAAGCCCATTGAACAAATGGCAAGTCAAAACTTAAAATCAAAAAAGTTAAACCACGCACACCATTAAAGATATGGCTAATTCTAAAGAATAGTGTTTTCTCCTGAAACTTAACCTACAGAGCGGACCAACAATGTAAGCAACAGCCAAAATATTGTGGTCCAGCAGGGAGGTGCTTAGAGCGTGTGGTAGTTCCTATCCTTAGTTTTGCAGAACTTCACAGCAAAAAAGATTACAGCTTGCAATCCAAGCACAAGTACAATTCCCCCAATGAAACTTGCTGCATCAAAGGTAGATTTCTTAGAGGGCGGAGGTGGTACTGGAGTCGTCCCATTAGGTGTACCTGTAGAAAACAGAAAACATGTCAGGGTAAAACCAAATGCTGCACTCTTGCAAAACTGAAGCACAATTCTATTCAATACATGGTCATTATACAGGCTCTTTTAAATGGTGAAAGAGGACAGAATCCACAATTGGCCTCTGGTACATCCCAACGATGAAAAAAATAATGGGCCTACTGGCTCCCTGGAGGCCAAGTAAATGAAACAAAAGGAAAAGATTTCACTACACTACACAGAATCTCAGGAACCAGTGTGTAAGATTACTTGGATTTCAATCATGAGGGAGTCATTTATCTATGAAAAAGAAAACACTGGAAACTATCCAGAATTAAAGTGGACTACCAATGTACTGTAAAAGACAAGTACAGTAATGCAACAGGGTGGGATTTCTAATAGCATGTTTATATTTTGGCTAAAGGAAAGATACAGTGCTGACTGAGAAAGTGGACAAATAGATAATGGGAAGGGAATGGAGAATGCAGAAAGGGATTAGTCTTTGACATCTTAGAAAAAATTCCAAGATTCTTCAGATATTAATGGTAAAATGGATGCGGAGTCAGAGGAAGGAGATATTAAGTTTAGTCAATAGGTTTGCTTTAACAGGTGACCAAGGGAGAATGTGAAAGCATACAATCCAGGCGGATGAAAATAACCACCCTAGTCAGATGCTTTTCAAGTAGTCAGATTCAGAGAAACCCAGTTATGGAGGACATTAAAACTGGATTTCATTTGGGGTAAAGGAACTTAGAACCATGAAATGATTTAAAAAACAAGAATGAGTGATTTGAAGGGGTGGTCTGGGTACCTAGGAAACAAAACAGGTCCAAGATATGGGACTTGATAGAGGTATAGGACATAGATGACCTCTAGTTTATGGAAGACTGACAACTGAAGGTTGGCTAGGTCAGGATAGGAGTAGCACAAGATCAAGAGGGATTTTTGTTCAAACTTGAAAGGAAAGGCAGTTAAAGAAATGTAAAGAAAATCAATTAATTTTAATCTCAGAAGCAAAAATGAACATTACAAGAGCTAATACATCACCGTCTTCAAACACTAAGCCATAAAATGTTGAAAAAGGAGATTCATGGAATCAGAATCCCAGTGTAGAAGTAGACCATTTGTACCATTGCACACTGATCCTTCAAAGAGCACCAACCACCACACCCCACACCACACCCCCCCCCCACCCCGCCAACCAACACTATCCTTATAACCCTGCACTTCCCACAGCTAATCCACCTAGCCTGCACATCCCTGGACACAGTAATTTAGCATGACCAATCCACCCAACGTGCACATCTTTGGACCGTGGAAGCATCCAGAGGAAACACTCACCTCTCTGCTCTTTCATTCAATTCCACAATTAAGGGATCAATATACCTTGACCACTATCCAAACTTCAGGAACCTGTAGACATACACTTGGTTGCTCTACATTTTTCTCCTTGCACTGTTTATCTGCTGTACCCACACTTCTCCATTTACCCTTTTACTGGCCAACTGATCACTTCACTGACACCTTCCTGCAACTTACAGCTTTCCTCTTCACCATAAATCCATGGCTCTTTACAGTTGAGAAATCACAGAATTTCTACAGTGTGGAAGTGGAAGCAGGCCATTCGGCCCACCAAGTTCACACTGATCCTCCGAAGAGGATGATTTTATATTTACCTGCTGTAGTACCAAGGCTGGTGGCATTGGGTGCCAGAGAGCTAATTTGCGTGACAGGAACTGTGCAAACAACAAAAAGTAGTTAATGAACAATAAATATCCACAATTTCAAGATCAAGAGTCAGATTTCAAACAAATCTAAACAATTCACAGTAGGACTGAACATCAACAATCAATTCAGCCTTCTTTCAGATAAGTACTGCAGCAAATTGTTCACAGCAATAGCTATGGGAGTGAAGCTGTATTGAACAGTTTCCAAAAATCAAAGCAAAGTAACTTGAACTTACTGTGTTACTGTCTCACTAGATCAACGTCTAGAAGTGTAAGGAGGCAGCTACTTTGCATTGCACACTGATCCTCCAAAAAGCATTCCCTCCCCCCCCACCCGCCAACCAACACACTATCCTTGTAACCCTGCACTTCCCACATCTAATCCACCTAGCCTGTACATCCCTGGACACAGTAATTTACAACCTACAGGCTGTGAACAAGCAAGGCAATATTCCACTGATACTGTACACAAAAAAAAACAGCATTAAAATAAGCACCAAATACAGGGTTATGATTTGAAAAATATACTTTATAGCTTTTTTGTGAAAGGTTTATTCAGCCAGAGGATTAATATTGGATCAAATCTGGACTAAATCTTTGCCTTTCAAAGACTTGGTCAGTCAGACCATTTATCACCTGACAGAAAGTTACTTCTAAACTGACTACAAGCACATGTATCTGATGGAAAGATCACTAATTTAAAGCCTGGGCATGACTGTTAAAATTGAAAAAAGTTGCTACCTCAAGCAAAGACATTTACCTGAAGGTTATGGGGACAAATTCATCTTAAATTTTGAAGAAACTAATGTAAGCAGTCCAGGTGGTTTGACATTCAAAAAAAAAGAAAGTTTGTTTTGTGAGGAAACAAATTGAATAACAATGCCTGTCAACCCAACATTGAGTTTGGGATAGTTGTTTTGTATTTAAAATTCAGTCCCAATTTAGTAAGGTTACCTTTGAGAAAGCAAGATCTCAACTAAAATAAAAAGGATAAGAATAAACAATTTGATAATGCCTGCAATCACAGGAATGTTTGATTTCTGTTTTAAAGATATCAAAAATGTTACCTGACTGCAAAGTTTGAGGACTATAAGGGATGGTGACTATTGCACATAAAACATTAAGAACTGATTGAGGGTAGGAGATAGCATTAGGAAAAGAACACAATGGAAATAGAAATAGTTAACAAAGGGAATTGAATCAGTTTGGTATTGACCTACGGGATATGGAAAAATGTAGCGGATACCAATAATTTATTAGAAAAAAAGAGCACGAGCAAGCTATGAGCTTTTTACTATGAACTGAATCTGATAGTACAACCACCACCCAAGGCAGTGGAACATGGACAAAAATCTTGCAACAGAACATCCCCTTCTGAACTTCTGATAAGATCACCTGAAAATCATGAATGAGACATGATACCAGTGCACAGAAGTGATCAGTTATACACTGCTAATTTAAACTTACGCATACATTCACTTGCACTTTGCAGATCATACATGTGTGGTGGCTAGATGGCCTTTATCTATTCCCTACATTGTTCTTTTAAAAATGTAGTTCATGTGCATATTTTCTACTTCTAAGCAGAGAGCTTATCCAAAACTTGTCTATTGTCTAGCTTGGTTAATGTTAGGGTTTTTGTTTGACTTCCACTATGTGAAGCATTTGGCTTTTCTTTTGAGATCTTTGTTGGTTGCTGCTCACTGACTCAGACAACTCCAAAAGGCTATTCATCTCAAATGTATTCTAGCTATTAGAGAAATATTTGCAGGAATGAGTAAAGAATCAAGAAGTCAAATACTGCAATGTTTGAAGAGCTACAATCTTAGTCTATGCATATTAAATTGCCAGCACCGATAACAGGTTCAAGTTGCTTTGTTTTTAATTTTGGATATTGTTCATACAGCTTACAGTAAATTTGATCAAAGGTACCGTGCAAGAACAATGAGCTGCATTAAGCCATGGGAAAAACATTAGAGCAGTTGGAAAAATATTTGGTTAATGTAGTCTTCACAAGAACAGTAGCCCTGTATAATCAAGGTTATAGAATGTACAGCTGCAGTTGCTTACATAGATAAGAACATTTCACACTAATTAGTTGTTTCTCTTGAATTGTTTAATCTCTTGCAATATTGAGTAGGTTTTAGTTAAGATTTTTCAGACAATTGATATAGATTCCGAAGTAGTTATAGATCCACCTACGTACAAAAAAATGACTAAAAGCATCAATGGTAAGGTTTCAAACTAGTTTCATACTGTAAAAGCAGCTCTCATTATTATAGGGAGGAATGAATCACAGGTACATAAGTTAGCAGACATTGGAATGTGGATTGAATTAATATATTAAGACAACTTGTTAGCTAAAGAATTATGACATTAGATGTAACCATTGGAACAGATTAAAAAAGTCAATATTCTTTTGTATTTTGTAATGAGAAACTTAAGATTCTGAAGAGATAGAAAGTATCAATTAAATTGGCAGTTCACAGTGCGGCTGCCAAATGTTACTTGAATACAGTATCCATTGTAAAAAGCCTCAACAAGCAAGATAAAGTCTGGGAAAGCATCATAAAGGACCAAGGGTGGACCATAAGCCTATACATTTGTCAGTGACACAATTAATTTAATGGAAATCCATTGAAATTGCTGAGGACCAGAGAGCCAATTATAAAAGGATAACTCATTGCTGCTGACCAAGGGGTGGGAGGCACGTGCACTCTAAGTTTAAACTGTACAAGTTAAGACATTCTGAAGTTTTTGTGTCTTTTTGCTATGCTGTAACTGAAGCTGTACATCACAAATAAGGTCACCTGAAACCACCCCATGAATGAGACTCTCATTGAAAATGAGATCTAACAAATTTCGTTAGATGCATCCAAAGCCAGCCATACTGGTCCCACTAATTTTCTAGCCATTTTATCTGGCAGAATGTCACCAAAAACAGAACTAGTTCTGAAGACAGGTCACTGGACCCAAAACATTAACTCTGCTTTTGCTCCACAGATGTTGCCAGGCCATGGTTGTTCCAAAAGCTTTTTTGTTTTTGTTTCTGATCTCCAGCATCCGCAACTCTTTAAAAACTGAAAGAACTGCAGATGTTGTACATCAGGAATAAAAACAAAGTTGCTGGAAAAGCTCAGCAGATCTGGCAGCATCTATGAAGGAAAAAAAAACAAACGGTTAATGTGTTGGGTCCGGTGACCCTTCCTCAGAACAGCATTTTTTTGGTAAACTTAGTATCATTGGCCCCTTTGTAATTCAGGATCAGCTAGTCAGACAGTCAGAACAGTTTCTGATAAACTTTAATGTGACGCAAACAAGTACTGACAGTTTAAAGGTAGTTAACTTATCCCTCAGTAATATTGCTCTCCAGTGACCAGAATGATGGCAAAATTAAGATACTCACACTGGTGCTAAATTATGAAAACCACCACATGCTGCTGAAATGTGACTTTTGGACAATTTTTGCTCATGATGTTATCACTTAGTATAGATGCAGATTTAATGTGCATTACAAATCTAAAGACAGCAAACTACAATGGTATGTGGCACAACCTGGCTATGATAAATTGGGAATCATTAAAGGGATAACACTAGACAGGCAGCAGAAACATTTAAAGAATGCATGGAGGAACTGCAACATTTGATGATTCCTGGCTGCCACAAAAGAATGGGAAAAGGTGGCTTGACCATGGCTAGAAAGGAAAATCAGGGATGGTATTAGATCCAATAAGGGGTATACAAATTAGCCAATAAAAGCAGCAGACCCGAGGATTGGGAGTTTAGATTTCAGCAAGAGAGGGGACAGTGGGATTAAGAAAGGAAAAATATAGTAGGAGAGTAAGCTTGCAAGTAACAAACTAATTGTAAAAGCTTCTATGGGCATGTGAAGAGAAAAAAAGAGAGCAGTAACATCAAAAATAGGTCCCTTACAATCAGCAACAGGGGAGGTTTAATGGGGAACAAGAGGGCAGACCAATTAAATATATATGGAGTGTCTACAGCCAAGAGTCAGAAATCGCACAACACCAAATTATGGTCCAACAGATTTCTTTGATATCACAAGCTTTCACCTGATGAAGGGGCTACGCTCAAAGCTTGTGATTTCAAATAAATCTATTGGACTATAACCTGGTGTGATTTCTGACTCTGTCCACCCCAGTCCAACATCGGCATCTCCACGTTTAATTAAGAGGGCAAGTAACATCCTAAAAACATTGGAGAATACATGGTCTAGCAAGAGAAAAACTGAAGGAAATTATTAGTAGCAAAAATTGGGAACAGGAGCAGAGACATCTTGATTGTGGATGTTTTTGTCAGAAAGTAGTCAAGGCCAAAGCTTTGAATGTTTTAAGAGATTAGATTTAGTGCTTAGAGCTAAAGGTAAAAAGATATGGAATGAAACGAGGAACAAATTACCGTGTAGGATAATCACTCATGATCGTGTTGACTGGTCAAGCAGGCTCAAAGGGTCAAATGGCCTACTCCTGTTACTTTTTTTTTTACATTTGACAATGATAGTTGTCAAATATCAAATTCAAAAAGAAAGCTTTGATTAGATCAACATGTTATACCTGCGTTTGCCAGCCACCTTACCAGTTGGCAAAACATCCTGCATTGTTACATGATCCAAATGGGAAGAAACCCAGGGCTAGAGTTTGGGCCCATACTCAACCAAATCACATTACTGTACTTTGTAAACAAAAAGGCAAAAATACTTGGGTCTTCTGGCATTAATTCTGTTCAGATGAAAGCTCATTGACTGGAGTTAACTCAGTTTCTCTTCAATGATGATGCCAGAGCTGAGCATTTTCAGCACTTAAAATTCTACACTTCTAGGCCCCATGAAAAAAGCCATTCCAAAGGAAAAAAGTAACTTAAAATAACATCTCTACAAAATTTGATTAAGGATCATAGTTAACCCACAGAAAGCCATCAAATCTTCCATTACCTGAAGTAGAAGAGTTTGAAGAATTGGCAATTGCAGAAGTTGAAGTTATGGTTGCAGGGACTGAAGGATAAGAACAGCAAGAATAGCAATTAAAGCAGCAAGTACAGCTTGTACCAAGCAAGTCAACAAGTTACATCTCACTATACAAGTCACATTTACACAGAATTTAAAGGGAGGAATCATGGTATCCTACAGTATTGTAGGATTGATATTGGGTCACAGTTACTCACAGAAACCCATTACCTGAAGTCAACATGCTTGAAGTATTGGCCGGTGAAGTAGGAGTTGGAGCTGCTGTAATATTTGGAAGGGCTGAAGGACAAGAATAGTATGAAAAGCATTTAAAACAGTGAATGCAACTCACACTAGGTAAACAGATTACATCATACTGCAGAAAATATATATGCACAGTAGTTAAAGCTACATGAATATCCCAGAATATTGTTTTTTCTAAAATACATTTTTCACTGAAGGCAAATTTTCATTCTTTCTCCATTATACAAGAGATAGAGTTAAACAGACTCATATCTTCATCTAGCAAAGCATCCAAAAAAGGTCCAAAAAAGGTATAGAAATATTAAACTCTAAGCAACAGATAAAAACAAAGCAGGAAAAGAATGAAGTCATTAAGGAATTAGATGTGTCACAAATGCAATTCAGCAATTCCCATTTGACTATTTGGCACATGGGGGTGGAGACAAGAGAATGGAAATATAGTCTACACAGTAACGGCAAAACTTCTAAATGCCACCTAATCTGCTCAAATTGGTAATGGTTTGAGAGCAGGACTGCACACAAAGGCATTAAAGGTAATGAATTGGAATAGGAATACAAAAAAGTGATTAATCCAAACATTTGGCCACAGCTGAAATACTGCATTAATTCACAATAAAAAGATTACTGGAACCATACAGAAATTAATTCACTCAAGCACGGAAAGCAGGTCCGGATGAGTGGGGAAACCAAATGAGTAAGAAACAAAGAACACTCAGGTCATGAATCAGTACTAATGAGGCAAAAGTCAGATTTAGACTAGACAGAGGAACAGATGGATTAAAGTAGGTAGCTGAATTGCATGTTTGTCTCACCTTCACATGTAGTCAGGTTTGTGCAATTTTTTGATGCCTCCAATGAACTGACACATTTCTCCACTCTACCTGGAACACATCAGAAGAGGTCTATTATAGATTATATGCAGAATCACAAGTTTAAACAGGTTCCTGGTATTTGAGCTAGCTTTCCATTACAGCAATACAAATTCATTTTCATCTCCAGACTAGCTCCCTTTGGCCCTTTATTTTTCCCAGTTAAACGACCAACTTCTGAGATGTAATTAATTTGCTACTGATTACTCTGTTGCAAAGTATGCCATACTTCAACACAATTGGAAGTAAAAGCAATAGTATCCAAAGAAAACTCCTCAGTGGCTGGAGTCTTCTCCAGCACAAATGAAGATGGCTGTGATTGTTGGAAGTCAACCTTTTCAGCATATCAGTTCTTTAGGGCAGCATCCCACCACCTTTAGTTGTCTGGGTGTCACAACTGATTAGAAACAAAATTGAAACATTCTTAAATAGTAATTACATGACCACAGTATGGGTAGTCAGTGGCAAGTGACTCACCTTCCCACTCCTCAAAGCCTTCCCATCACTTACCAGATACGAAAAAAAGACCAATTTCCTCTCTTTAGTTTATGTGAAAAGACCAGTCCAATTGGGGTAACTGAAGGGGTTCGATAAACATCCCTATCTTCAGAGACAGCGCTCAGCACATCAGTGCAAAAAATAAAAAAGTTAAAACATTTTCAGCCAGCAGCACCAGGTGAATGATTCATGCCAGCCTCCTCCAGTGGTCCCAGCATCATGGATGCCAACTAGAACTCCCTTAGCAACATTTTGGTTTAAGTAACCCACATGGATTGCAGCTGTTCAAGACAGCAGCCCATCACCAACTTCAATGGCAACTAGAAATGGGAAACAAGTGCTGGCTTAGCCAGCAACACCCATCACCCATAAGTAAACCCCACCATGGCAGAAAATAGGCATGAAGCTAGTTTCATAGCCTCAGTAAAGATGACAATCATTTGTTGTAAAAATTCACTTAATTCAAAGCACCTTTTAGGGAAATAAGCCTGCCACCTTACCATGTCTGGTCTACATGCAACTCCAGACCCATGGCAATGTGGTTCACTCTCAATTGACTTTGAAATGGCTCAGCAACCCATTCAATTCAGGAGAATTGAAGGAGGAGCAACACGTGCTGGCCTTGCCAGCAATACCCACATTCCGTGAAGAAAGCAATACATCTTACTGCAATTAGAGAGAGACTTGGTGAGCCTGCTCCTTGAATACTGTACCCAGTTTTAGTCCAAGGACTAATATTCTTGCCATAAAGGGAGACTCACCACTCCTAGAAGCATGTTCCAAGGATAAGTTAAGACAGGCTCTGTGAATCCAGAATTTAAGACTGGGAGCTAACCTTAAGGAAGCAATCAAAATTCTGACAGTTTCAACAGAATAAATACAAGGAGGTTTCCCCTGGTTGGGGATTCTAGAACCAGGGGGACAGTCTCAGAATAAGGGGCAAACCATTTGGGACTGAGATGAGAAGGAATTGCTTCACTCAACATAGTAATACTTTGGAATTCCCTAGAGTATATTCAAGACAGATCACTAAATTAGTATATTCAGGATATTTTGGGACATAGGGGCAGTGGGGGAAAATTGAATCAAGGTAGATTAGCCATGATCTGATTGAACAGCAGGGTAGGCTCAAGGAGTAAAATGACCTACTCCTGTTTTTCTTTCTCATGTTGAGAAAATAAGTCTTATTTGTCAAATACAAGGTTAAGCGATTGTCACGATGAATTCTTGGAATGCATAACAGCTTAAGCAGGTTCTCCCACATCAACAGGTTCCATCACCAAGCATAAGATAGTAATTAGGAGACCATTCAGCCTCAAGCCTGCTCCAACACATTCGTGCATGGTTGATCTTTGTTTTTTAAACTCCACATTCTCATCTAACTTTGATAACCTGTAACTCCCCTGACTAAGAATGCACCCACCTCAGGCTTAAAAATCAATGACCCTGCCTCCACCACTTCAAGACAGTATTCCAAAGTATTTCAACTTTCACAAAAATATTCATCTATCCCGAAAGGGCAATGCCTAATTTCAAATGTCCACTTACTGTGGAATGACACACAAAAGATATCATCTCCCCCTTGTCGAGACCATTCAGAATTTATTTTTCCACTTCGAGTCACTCCCCACTCTTCTAAACTCTAGTGGAATGGCGTCCAACCCATCCTCAAAACCATTCACTCCTTCCAAGTATCAATCTAGTAAATCTCCTCAACCACCTCCAACGTAGTTGTATCCCACCTTAAATAAAGGAGACCAAAACTGCACAGTATCGGAGATGTGGTTTCACTAAAGTCCTGTAAAGATGTAGTATAACATTGAGGAATTAAACAAAAAGTAAGACGGACATAAGTATAGCAAAAGGACTGCTTTCTATTAGTCTTAATTACATGCTGCACCTGCATAATAAATGGCTCATCTACAGAACACCCAAATGCCTCTACACCACAGGATTCTACAGACATTCTCCATCTAAATAATACTCTACTGTTTCCATTCTTTCTGCCAAAGAATTCTTTCACCTTACATTTTCCCAATTATACTCCATCTGCCAGATTTTTTTGCCCACCCATATCGGGTCTCCATCCTCATTCTTCACAATACACTTTTCTCTATCAACTAGGAATTCAGATACGTCTTCACTCATGATCTCAGTCATGTAAAAACTGCAAGAAGTTGCAGTACAGACCACTTGTCACATCCTGCCAATCAGCCAAAGATCCATCTATTATGCACTTTTGCCAGACAATCTTCTATCCAAGCTAACATAGTCCATATATCATGAACTCATTTTCTGAAGAACCTTTGATGTGCTACCCTATCAAATACCTATATACCTTGAAATCCAAGTATAGGGTATCTACAGGCTCCCCTTTATCCATAGCATGTTATAACTTCGAGCTGCAATAAATTGATTAAACATATTTCTCTTTAAATCAAACCACGCTGATGCATTGATTACTTTGAGAAGTTCCATATGACAGGCAGGATTAGAACAATCAGTTGAGAGGGCATGCTCTAGCTCACTACTGTCAGAATGATCGTTAACTTATGATAAGGCATAACAATATTTGTAGAGCATCCAGATTGCAGGCTCACCATAAGAGCCTCTGCAGCCAGTTAAATCAAATGAAGGCAAGGATTTCCTCTCCACAGTTTCACTAGATTGATGTTTTTAAAAACAATGATGTTGCAGTAATTACTCCTAGTTTAAGATCACATTTTACCATACAGGATAAAGACAGATCTACACTATCTAATCAAGGTTTGCTTTTTAATTTGAATATGACATGCAAACAATGTCATGGGGCTAACGATAAATATTCAAACTAAACTTTTAGATATTTTTGAATCATCCTGATCCTGTTACGTGCCTGTCTAGAGCAGGCAGGGCTTGAACCTGGACTTCCTGGCTCAGATGCGGTGCTACCACTGACCCAAATCCCTCTTCCCACCTCGTAACATCCCCTGATTAGGGGCAGGCCACCAAAATGGCTTGTATGAAATCTGGAGAAAAGAAAAAGAGCTTTTTCTGCTCAAGTAATCCAAAGTCAGTCCAATTGCCCACATCCTCAGTCCCATGCTGCACTTATTGATGTTCAGATTTTATACATTTTTTAGAATTTAAATTTAAGTGCTATTTCAAGTATTAATTTGACAAATTCTAATTTAAGACCTTACAAAACAACACGGTTAAAGGAATGATCAAAAGTGGTTGCTAGTGTTGTATTAAAGGCAAAATATTCAGGAGCACGAGCTGATTCCAAAACTTCCTAGAAATTTCACAAAAACAATTAACTCAAACCTTAATTCTTATCCAAGTTCTCTCCAGAATTGGTGGGGGGAATGGTTGGCAAAAAATTAAGTACATAATTAATCTAATAACTGAAGGGATGGCAATTTTACTGAAAGAAGTTACTGTAATCCAATAGTAACGACTCAACTTTCCAAAGCTCTTTCTTTTCTCCAGATTTCATACAAGCCATTTTGGTGGCATGCCCCTAATCAGGGGATGTTACGAGTTGGGAAGAGGGATTTGGGTCAGTGGTAGCACCACATCTGAACCTGGACTTCCTGGCTCAAGCCCTGCCTGCTCTAGACAGGCACGTAACAGGATCAGGATGATTCAAAAATATCTAAAAGTTTAGTTTGAATATTTATCATTAGCCACATGACATTGTTTGCATGTCATATTCAAATTAAAAATCAAACCTTGATTAGATTCAATATGTTGAGAAAGAAACAACTAAAAACATGATAAAATGTTTGGCTGGCAACACCTGAACTTCCAAATTCACGTGAGCTGTTGGAGGTATCAATTTCCAGAAGAGCAAAGGTTTTAAGCTGCATTTCTAGCAGGTATATCAGGAAATTACATGCTTTCCTATCCTCAAGTTGATCAAATATTAGAAGAGGGGGGATTAAATTGGGCTAGCGAATAATTACAGCGATGGGGTGAAACAGGATATAGTCATGAATAGTTTTAATAGTGGTTGTAATTGGATTTGCATTTAAGAGGTTAGTAATGTAACATGTCTGTTTGTATATTTAACATTATAGAAAAGGGTCCCTTTCAATTTTAAAGTCTCTTTTCTCTCTACCCAAGTTGTGTCTTTAAAGATTGGGGTGTATATATTTGGGTCACTACGGCAAATGATTGATTTAAACAGAATCACTGAAATTATTAAATCCCTAATTACGCTTTCTAGATTCAATAACTGCATTGTCAAAACAATACAAAATATGAAATCTAGAAGCTAAATTGGCATCTAGTTTTCAGAACAATCTTAAAAACTTGCTACATGACACTTTGGTAAAGGGGTGTCTAAACAAAGAATTCTCAAAATCATGGTGGTTAATAATTCTTATAATTAACACCTCTCATACATTCAGTTGTATAATCACTAAACATGAAGTCAAATCCATCTGTTGAGTTAAACAGCTATACTCAAAATCTTAATGATTAAATAAACTTAAAGAACCATATCCCAATATATTTGCCCATCAGCAAGCCTATGGTATTGGTCACTTTCACAATGTATATCATTGTACATAGATCATGTAAAGTTATTAGTTTTCTGATGCAAAACTGCTCAAACTGCCTTGGCCCTGGCATGGATTGAAATAGGCAAACTTTATTTAGCAATTTGTGATATTCAATGAATGCATCATTGAACACATGCAAACGAGATGTCCAGCAACAAAATGCCAAGCACAAAAATTTTAAAGTTTCATATGCCTATCAACAGAAGTCAAATTTAGAACAGAAACCCAGGCGGCTTCATCCTTCTCAATTTTTCGAAAGTACAATCTGAGGACCTCTAAAAATAAATTGTTTCCACTACAGACATTTAATTTTTACTCATCCAACCCTATGCTCACAGGACCTGCCAACATGATCTTCATAGGAATTCTAGGGCTGGAAGAAGCTTTTCAGCCCATCACTAGCTCCACTGTTTTCAATCACATCAAACTTTTAAACACTTCAGCTTCTTATTCCAATCCCACCCCGATTTTTGAAATACAAAAAAAAAAGGAGTATTCAAATGAAGATACAAATGCTGGAGACCTGAAATAAAAACAAAATGGTGCAACCGCTCAGCGGGTCATGCAGCAGTGGAGGGAGGAAGTGCTCATGTTCCACAACAAACCTCTGACAAAGGGTCACACAACCTGAAACATTAACTGTTGTTTCACTATCAACTGATACTGCCCGATTTGCTGATTTTCAGTACTTTCAACATTTTTACTGCACTGAAATAACAGAACTGACTTTCTCCACTTGCATTATTTAAAATTTAGCACCATCCTTTGGGCCCTTTCTTTAATCGTGTCTCTAAACTGTTCTGTGTTCAAGATTCACTCATTTTGAGCATACCAGCCTGACACAAGCGTACCCTTAAATTCTGTCAGATCTTGGAAAAATCTATTTAGCATCTTAACTAGAAGAGGAGATTTTATGATGTCAGTTGGAATCGCAATCATCTTTTTTACTGGAACGAGATACCAATCAAAGTCCTAGACAATGGCTTAACCCAAATATCCAAGAACATTACTGCAGCAGCTGAACTCAAAAGAGGAGAACTTTAAAAAGTCTCGTCATCTTACTCAAATTTGGGACAGTTTATATAAGACATCAATTCAAATCCAGTTATCCAAAATCAATGACACCCATTAAAAGACGCGTTTCTGCCGGTTCTCACTGTAACAAAATACAAATCAGTTTTACCTTCACAGATCGTCCACAGGCAGCTCAAATTGGCATTTGAGAGATTTGTAAAGGATGTACAATTAATACAGTCCTTGAAATCGCTGCAATTCACTGGAAGGAAAAAATTACATGTTTTACACAGTGGTTTTTAAAGTTGAGAATGAATAAAAAGCCTACTCAGAAGCCATCTGCCTTTTATTCTGGTATGCATACACATCAGAACTAAGTTAACTATAGCAATAACAAATGAAGAAATCAGGTTCTGGAGTAGATCTGTAGCTGGGGTTGTGGGTGTTGAGGTTGGTTGGCTCACCGAGCTGGTGTTGTTCCGCAGACATTTCGTTACCGTGCTGGGTAACATCCTCAGTGCAGCCTCCGATGAAGCGGTGTGTTTTCCCGCCTGGTTTTTAAACTCTGGGGTGCGTTGTGATGGATTGCCTCACTTCCGTGTTTCCTCCGTAGTGGAATGTATATGGGGTCGAGTTCAACGTGTTTATTAATAGCCTGCTTCGTGGAGTGCCATGCTTCCAGGAATTCTCGTGCTTGTCTCTGCCTACCCTGTCCCAGGATCTTGGTGTTGTTCCAGTCGAAGTCGTGGTTCATGTGGATTGAGATGAATGAGTATTGGTCGTATCTTTTTGTAGCCAGTTGGTGTTCATGTACTCGTTGTTGGACAAACAGGAAGGAAACTAACAACAAGAGTACATGAACACCAACTGGCTACAAAAAGACATGACCAGTACTCACTCATCTCAATCCACATGGACAAGGAGAACAACGACTTCGACTGGGACAACACCAAGATCCTGGGACAGGCTAGGCAGAGACAAGCACGGCACTCCATGAAGCAGGCTATTAATAAACACATTGAACTCGACCCCATATACATTCCACTACGGAGGAAACTCGGAAGTGAGGCAATCCATAGCAACAGACCCCAGAGTTTAAAAGCCAGGCGGGAAAACACACCGACGCTTCATCAGAGGCTGCACTGAGGATGTTACGCAGCACAGTAACGAAATGTCTGCAGAACAGCAAACCAGCTCGGCGAGCCAACCAACCTCAAGAAGAAATCAGGTCAAACATGAAATCAAAGGAAGTATTTGACCTGCATGTTTACATAATCAGTGTCAAAGATGAACTTTTTTTTAAAATCAGAAGACTACTGTTTACGAATAATCTCAAAAATTGAAGTTAGAATGATGTGAACAAATCACAAGACAATAAACAGGTGGAACATACTAGAATCAAGACATTTAAACAGCAATTTAGATGACCATTTGAAATGCCATAGCATACAAGGCTATGTGCCAAACACTGGAAAATAAGACTTTAACAGATAGATGCTTGATGACCAACATGGACACAATAGGTCAAAGCAGCATGTTGCATGTGTAAGAACAGACATGATAGGCTGTTGCCATTGGCCCACACATTGACCCTGAGCTCCAGAAATCCATATTAGAACATTCTGGAAATTCGGTTAGCTCATTTGTCCACCTGGTCAGGTGTAGTTAGTTCAGTGGATTCTATAACATGTGTGGTAAACCTATAACTTGAGATATAATATAAACAAGAGTTCAAACATTTTATGCAACTCCCAAGGCTTGCAATATCCATGACAACAAAAAGCTTGGAATCCCCTGCCAGGCTTCTGCTTATTTATCCAAATGAATGCATTAGGGAGAGGCCACTCTTTCTGCTACCAACTCCAGTTGTCAATATTAGGCAGGTTGTGACCTTTATTTATCCCAGAGAAGGCAGGTGCTTTTATTTGAGCCTCTACACGTGACATTTTTACCTTACCATTATTCCAAGGGCATAAGAACTTTAAGTCATTAAAGTTATGATTTCAAAGTGTAGATCTTGACTAAATAGGTAGAATATATAATGTTTGCAACCCTTTAGCATAGGTGATAGCCCTTCCTTCAGCACCAAAACTGAACATTAATTAAACCGTAAACAAGTTGAAGGGTAACCTCAAGTTTACATAATGAAGGATAAAGATACGGTGAATGACAGGTGTCTTATCCCTAGGGTGGGGAATTACAAGACGAGGGGGCTTTTTTGTTGTTTTTTTTTTGAAAGGAGAGAGGTAGAATTAAAAAAGACATGAGGCAATTTTTTTCCAAAACAGTGGCTTGTGTGGAATTAACTTCTAGAAAAAATGATGGTTACAAGTACAATTAGAACATTTAAAGACTTTTAGATAAGTCCACGTACAAGAAATGTTTGGAGGGATATGGACCAAGTGTGGAGAGGTGGAACTAGTTTAGTTTGGTATTACAGTTGGTATGGGCTGGTCAGTTGGATGAAAGAGTCTGTTCCTGTGCTGTATAAGTCAATAACTCCATAAGAAATTTCCTGAACAGAACTCCATCTGTGTACAAAGTAAATCTCTGCTGAAACAAGCACTTCATGGATTTGAAACAGTGCAGCATGTTATTGCAAAATGCTTTGCAATGGATTATGAGGCACAAGTATTCTACATTCTCAAATTTCTTGGTCTCAACTGACCAGTAATGGGACAGTACAGACACTTGAGTTTCCCTAGAAGCCAGGTTCAGGGGTAACAGTCATCTTTTAGCTGAATTGGCTACTTAATAACACAAAATAATCAGAGATAATGGTAAGAAGAAATAATTTCAATAATAGTTACTTAAGCATAAAACAAAAAACCGAGAAGAACATCAGTCTTAATTCTGAATTAAGATTTAAATTGACTAATCCAGAAGTCCAGGCCAATGCTTTGCAAGCAAGCTTTCAAATCCTGTTACATCCAATGGAATTTACATTCAATTAACACCTTGAACTGAAAGCTAGTCTCAGTAGCAGTGACCATGACAACTACCATCAATTATTGAAAAGACTAAGTGGTCCACTAATGCCCTTCAGAAAAGGAAATGTCATCTTAACACGGTCTGGACCACACATGACTCCAGACTGACAATAATCTCAACCTTAGCAACCCTTTGAATTGGTAACAAGTTGAAGTTCAATTGGAGACAAGCAGCAAATGCTGCCCTAACCATAAATTTAAAAGCCAAGGTATTTCGGTAGTCATTTCCAATTTCTTCAAAACATTAAAACCAAATACAGATGTGACCCAAACACATTGCAACAAGACAATGAATCTCATGCTTGTCATAGGAAGACTCTGGGCCTGTTCTCAATGGAGATTAGTCAATTTTTTTCTGAGGAGGCAGTAGATGGGGAAGAAGAGAAAAATCTCAACAAAATTTACAGAATATCGAGGAACCTGGTAGAGTGGACATGGAAAAAGTGTTCCCATGAGACACAAGAACCCAAGGGCACAAGCGCAGTGAAGGGATCACCTTTCGGAACCGAGGTGAGGAGGAATTTCTTCAGAGTGTGTGTGAATCTGTGGAAGTCATTGCTGCAAAGGGATATCGAGGCCACATCATTGAGTGTATTTAAGACAGCAATAGATAGGTTCTTGATAAGTCAGGGGATCAAAGGTCACAGGGAGAAAACAGGAAAATGGAGTCCAGGAAATTTCAGTTATGATCAAATACCAGAGCAGACTGAAGATGCCAAACAGACTAATTCTGCACTTTCATCTTACGGTCTTACTTTTATATTCATTCCCAGGATGTGCGTAGTATGGCTAGTGTTTATTGCCAGTAATACTTGCCCACAAAAGGTGTAGTGCAGTTAGAGACTTCAAGGTTTATTTTCCCATCGAGTGAACATGAAATCTCTCTTCCACCTTAACGTCCTGAACCTGAAGGAGTTTAACTTTCAACCAAACTTTCCCAACTATAGAGACAGTCCCTACACCCCCCAACAGTCTCATTAGAAAATAAACAACTCAAGATTTCCGCAACCACAACACTTCCAACCTGGAATCACAGGCTCATGCAGCACTTCTGGCAGACACAGGGGAAAATACACAGAGTGGGGGGGGGGGGGGGGGGAGAAAAGGAGGGGCCCCCCCCCACAACCCCACGAGGGGAGGGAGGGAGAAACAAGGG